CCCCCGCTTTTGGGCCCCCCGTTCCTTCCCATTCCCCAAAAGGGTCCCGAGCCCCCCGGGGGGCCTTTTTGGGTTTTTCCCCCTCTTTCTCTCTTCCTTCCCCCCCTCCTTTCCCCCCCCTCCCTCCTCCCCCGGGCTCCTCTCTCCCGGCTCCTCTCTCTTCCCCCGGTCTCCTTCGCCTTCCCCCTCTTTTCTCTCTCCCCCCCTCTTTTGGCCTCCTCCGCTTCTTGGGCCCGCCTTTGGCCCCTCCTTCGGGCCCCCCTTTTCCCGGGGGGGGCGCCCCCGCCGCCCGGGGCCCCCCTCTCTCTCTCCCTCCCCTTTTTGGAGCGCGGCGCTCGCCGGCCGCGCGGCTGCGCGCGCGCGCTCGCGGCCGCGGGCGGCGTCCCGCCCCCGCCCCCGGGCCCCCCCGACTCTCCCGCCCTTCCCCCGGCCCTCGCCCTTCTCTCCCCGCCTTTCCCTTCGCATCCCCTTTCCCGCCTTTTTGCGTGGCCCTGGGGGGGCCGGGGCCCCCTAAGCCTATTTGGTGGGGGGGAAAAGGAAAAAAGGGAAAATGGAGAAGGGGTTGGGGGTAAAAAAAAAGGGGCCCCCCCCCCACTTTCCCACCCCCATAAACCCCCTTTTCCCCCCCAAAATTTTCCCCAAACCCTTTTTCCCCCCATTTCCCCCCTTTTTCTGGGTGGATGAAAAAAAAAACCCCCTGGGCGACAGGGCCATTATGGAAGGGGCGTTTGGTTTTTTCCCCGGACAGGTCGGTTAAGAAGCCCATTCAGCTCCATTGATTTGTTATAGGGGCCTGAGAGAGGGAGAATTGGCAGAGGGTTCAAGGAGGTAATGGGGGGAGAGACAGCGATGGCGGAGGAGGGACGCGTGTCGACCTGCCTTGAGTTTAAACACCTTTTACAATAGAAAATTCATAATAGAAAAGCTTGGTGTTGTTTAGTTTTTGCTGGAATAAAATGTTACGTTGTAAAGAGCGACATGTGACACGTGAGCCGAGGGGACCATTTTTGTTTTCGTTTTCAGCCAGACGTGTCCAAGCAGAAGCGTGTTGATTGATTGGTTTACGTCTCTTCTTTTTTTTTAGCTTGTCAAAGCTGGTGAGTTGCCTGAGTGAGCGTGAGAATGTTTCGAGTGTCCACTACACTAGACTTCTCTTTCTTTACTCTCTTTGGGAGGTTTCTCGCGCTGGCCGCCACGGTGAAGTCGTCAAATTATACTGCGTGTGAGGGCCTTCATCCTTTCAACAAAAGCTGAAGACAGTAAGAAGAGGTGTGTGGAGAACAAGGCTCATCTCAAAGCCTATCTCGCCAGCTTCATCTTCCAAAGCCTGAAGGGAAGTGACAAGTCTTTGAAGCGCTCTTTCTTTGACCATTCCATTCTCCCCTCTCTATCTCTTTGTCTTTCTGTTTCTCTCTCTTCCCCCACCTCCCTCCTGTTCTCTGTCTCTCTCTAGAGAAATCAGCCAAGCCCTGGCCCTCTCAGAGCCTCTCATCTTGGATATGTCACTTCTCAATTTGCCGCGGCCCCACTATTCGCTGCTGGCGTTTGTATTGATTTTCCTGTCTACGGTCAGAGTGGAGCTCTCAAAACTCTTGAATAAAAGGCAAGAAAGCAGGGGCTGGGTTTCACATGAATGCTGGCCCTCTCTGAAATGGGGATTGAAGTATGTTATCTGCTCTTGTTGGATGCTTGACATCACACTGCTATTAACAACAAACACCAACCACAACGAGTTAATGTGAACAGAATATGCTTAGAGCTAATTGCAGAACATCATATATATTATAGAGATTCCAAATATCCTGAAAATAGGAAGGTTATCACAACTTCCTGTTTTATGCAAAGGAAAGGCTTTATGACAGCCTTATTACCACAGGAAAGGCTTTATGACAGAGGTATTACCACTGGAAAGGCTTTATGACAGAGGTATAACCGCTGGAAAGGCTTTATGACAGAGGTATAACCACAGGAAATGCTTTATGACAGAGGTATTACCACAGGAAATGCTTTATGACAGAGGTATTACCCCAGGAAATGCTTTATGACAGAGGTATTACCACAGGAAAGGCTTTATGACAGAGGTATTACCACAGGAAAGGCTTTATGACAGAGGTATTACCACAGGAAATAGAGGTATTCTCTGTGTCGTTATCTTCAAGACATTTATTTAAGATGGGATAAAGAAATCGAGTGGGATGGAAAGATGTAGAGAGAAAAGAGGCAAGAAAGTAAGGAACTGAGAAGAATTGAAAATGGACGACAGAACTTTCCGGCATCTGGCTGTTTCCGGGCCAAGGAATTCACGGAGTAAAATAATGTTGATCACCTTAGGGCATCTCCAGACTCTTTTCCTGAAGCCCCTCCCCCGCGCTATTACAAACTTCACATCTCCGTAAAAAAATATTCAAACTTTCGCATTTGGCAAAACATGGCATTGGTCTCGGCAAAGTGTATCCCTGCCGCAGCGTCAAAACGATATGGGATCAAAGGAGATAGTGCCGCAAACTGGCAAAGTGCCATCCTTGCTCATGTCTGTCTGGGCCCGGCAGTAAACAGTTCGCCGAAGATCTTTCACATCGAGTAAATACTCCAGTGAGTCATCTCCCCGAGCGGAAGGAGTGAAGGAGAAAAGGGTGGATTGGAGTGCTGACCTGTCACAAATCCCGGATTCCCCTGAGGTCGCGTCGATGCAGGAGCAGCACAGTCCTTCGTCCCCATAGGGTCCCCAGAAACGACTGGGTGTTCTCTCCCAGGGGAGAACAGATGAGACTCCCCTCTCTCTCTCTCTCTCTTTCGCTCTCCGCCAGTGATCCAACACACAGCGTGGATGTGGGAAGTTGTCTAACTCGTGTCCTTGGGGGGGGCCCAAGTGCAGGCACTCTGAAGTGAAGAAGCCTGACACGTTAACAAGGAGTACAGAGAAGGGAGTGTGTGTGTGTTGTAGGTGTGTATGTGTGTATGTTGTGTGTGTATGTGTGTATGTGTGTGTGTATGTGTGTGTGTGTGTGTGTATGTGTGTGTGGTAGGTGTGGTGTGTGTGTGTGTGTGTGTGTGTGTGTGTGTGTGTGTAGTGTGTGTGTTGTGGTGTGTGTGTGTGGTGTTGGTGTGTGTGTGTGTGTGTGTGTGTGTGTGTGTGTGTTGTGTGTGTGTGTGTGTGTGGTGTGTGTGTGTGTGTGTGTGTGTGTGTTCATCTTTTCCTAAGAAGTTTTTTCATAAAACCTGTTAATCGAACCTCACCCCAGATTGCCCAGACCTTGAGACTCAGTTGTTCTTGAAATATACCGTTTCTGCTTCCTTCCATGGCCCTTTCACTCAAGTCAGGGAGGATGGTTGACTTGACAGAGAAACGTAAATCACAACATTTGAATGAAGCAATCCTGGGAAAAGGTCCTCACCACACACACACACACACACACACACACCCACCACACACACACACCACACACCACACAACACACACACACAACACACACCACACAAGCACACCACACCACGCGCGTGCACACACACACACACACACACGCACACACACACACACACACAAGTACACACACACACACACGCACACACACACACACACACACACACAAGCACACACACACACTGACTCGGCGCCACATGCCCACAAATGCACTATCATCAGGTTGGACAAATTGAGCATCATTAATAATTCCTGCAGTAAGGTGATAAATCTAAGATTGCTCTCGATGGACCTGGATATACCTCAATAAATCAGGCAGATTAGCGGGGAATATTTCAAAATCCTGTGTCACATGTGTCAGGCTAACTGATGGTTTTTGTCGATCCCTCAAAGTGATAGGCCGTGAATCTGGGATACGTTTTCAAAATGTCAGCAGTGCAATATGCAATCTCTCTAATGGCAGCAATAGGCTTTTAATTTTTTTATTTTATTTTTTTTCTCCCCGGGTGAGAGACAGAAAAGAGAAGCTGACGTGAAGGTTTCTGTGTCTCCCATATCAATAGGAGACTTGTTATTCACGTACAGTAAAATCCACTTATCCAAAGCTCACAAAGAAAGGGAAAATTGTGTATTGACACATTTGAAGGCCTAATCAGAGTTTGAATGCCCATCTCCTTTTCTGGTGCTGAATTTCAAAACATTAGATTATCGCTCTGTCACAGGTAAAAGGTGAATTTTTTTAAATTTCAAAGAAGTGATTTTCCCAATAACCATAAAAGAAGAGTTCAGCTGAACATGGCAGAAAATGTCCCGTAGAAACCTGATTTGATATTTGACGAGTGGTCCATGGTTGTGCTGAGCTTTTTGTGACGTATATCTGATTTCAGAGGTAGACTGGGAACAGGGTTGTGGACGGATGAATTCTACATAAAAAATTGTATTCGTTTTTTTCCTGTGAAGCACATTGCATTGCATTCCATGTCTGAAATGTGCTGTATAAATAAAGTTTGATTTGATTTGATAGAAAAATGAAAGAAATCAACTTTTAGGCCCTACAGGCAAACATATGTTGAATCAAAGTTATATCATGTCATTTTGTTCAGGTGACATTTAACATCAATCGATTTTTGGGTTGAATTCACAAATGGTCGATGTACAGAATTTGTGTCTCATCTTGACCAGATTTCCACCACAAATCAACAAGAGGATTTCAAAGATTGATTTATTTCAAGTTGAATTCATGTTTTTTGACAACTCACTTAAATCCAACTCACTTAAATCCACCAAAATTAGATGTTGAACAGTTTTATCCTGGTAGAATCGTAACATGACTTTTACATTTGGGCTACTCACCCGAATCAGGGTCTTCTGACTACAACTGAATCAATGGCCAATGATCGCCTTTTTCCCTCCAAAACACAACCTTTGGTTACTCATGACATTATGACTCAGACTAATCAGACGGTTAATGACATTATGACTCAGACTAATCAGACGTGTTAATGACATTAGACTCAGACTAATCAGACGGTTATGACATTATGACTCAGACTATCAGAGAATCGACGTTAATGACATTATGACTCAGACGGTTAATGACATTATGACTCAGACTAATCAGACGGTTAATTACATTATGACTCAGACTAATCAGACGGTTAATGACATTATGACTCAGACTAATCAGACGGTTAATGACATTATAACTCAGACTAATCAGACGGTTAATGACATTATGACTCAGACTAATCAGACGGTTAATGACATTATGACTCAGACTAATCAGACGGTTAATGACATTATAACTCAGACTAATCAGACGGTTAATGACATTATTACTCAGACTAATCAGACGGTTAATGACATTATGACTCAGACTAATCAGACGGTTAATGACATTATGACTCAGACTAATCAGACGGTTAATGACATTATAACTCAGACTAATCAGACGGTTAATTACATTATGACTCAGACGGTTAATGACATTATGACTCAGACTAATCAGACGGTTAATGACATTATGACTCAGACTAATCAGACGGTTAATGACGTTATAACTCAGACTAATCAGATGGTTAATGACATTATGACTCAGACTAATCAGACGGTTAATGACATTATAACTCAGACTAATCAGACGGTTAATGACATTATGACTCAGACTAATCAGACGGTTATGTACATTAGGACTCAGACTAATCAGACGGTTTAATGACATTATGACTCAGACTAATCAGACGGTTAATGACATTATGACTCAGACTACTCAGACGGTTAATGACATTATGACTCAGACTAATCAGACGGTTAATGACATTATGACTCAGACTAATCAGACGGTTAATGACGTTATAACTCAGACTAATCAGACGGTTAATGACATTATGACTCAGACTAATCAGACGGTTAATGACGTTATAACTCAGACTAATCAGACGGTTAATGACATTATAACTCAGACTAATCAGACGGTTAATGACATTATGACTCAGACTAATCAGACGGTTAATGACATTATGACTCAGACTAATCAGACGGTTAATGACTTATAAACTCAGACTAATCAGTCGGTTAATGACATTATGACTCAGACGGTTAATGAAATTATGACTCAGACTAATCAGACGGTTTAATTATGTACATTATATGACTCAGACTAATCAGACGGTTAATGACATTATGACTCAGATTAATCAGACGGTTTAATGACATTATGACTCAGACTAATACAGAATTAATGACATTAGGACTCCGACTAATCAGGACGTTAATGACATTATGACTCAGAACTAATCAGACGGTTAATGACATTATACTCAGACTAATCAGACGGTTAATTACATTATGACTCAGAACGGTTAATGACATTATGACTCAGACTAATCAAAACGGTTAATGACATTATACTCAGAGAAATCAACGGTTAATGACATTAACTCAGACAAATCAGACGTTAATACATTATGACTCAGACTTTTAATGACATTATGACTCAGACTAATCAGACGGTTAATGACGTTATAACTCAGACAACCAAAACGGTTAATGACATTATAACTCAGACTAATCAGACGGTTTAATGACATTAAACTCAGACTAATCAAGGGTTTTAATGACTTTAAATGACTTCAGACTAATCAGACGGTTTAAATGACATTATGACTCAGACTAATCAGACGGTTATGACATTATGACTCGACTAATCAGACGGGTTAATGACATTATGACTCAGACTTTAATGACTTAAAGGGACTTCAGACTAATCAAAACGGTTAATGACATTATAACTCAGACTAATCAGAGGGTTTAAATTACATTATAGACTCAGACTAATCAGACGGTTAATGAACATTATGATTTCAGATAATCAAAACGGTTAATGACATTATGACTCAGACTAATCAGACGTTTAATGACTTTATGACTCAGACAAATCAGAGGGTTTAAATGACTTATGACTCAGACTAATCAGACGGGGTTAATGACATTATGACTCAGACTAATCAGACGGTTAATGACTTATAACTCGACTAATCAGACGGTTAATGACATTATGACTCAGACAATCAAAACGGTTAATGACATTAGGACTCAGACTAATCAGACGGTTAATACATTATGACTCAGACTAATCGGGAGGGTTTTAATTTACTTATAACTCAGACTAATCAGAACGGTTAATGACATTATGACTCGACTAATCAGAACGGTTAATGACTTTTAGGACTCAGACTAATCAGACGGTTTAATGACATTATGACTCGGACTAATCAGACGGTTAATGACGTTAACTCAGACTAATCAAAACGGTTAATGACTTGGGAAACTCAGACTAATCAAAGGGTTTAATGACATTATACTCGGACTAATCAGAGGGTTTTAATGACATTATGACTCAGACTAATCAGACCTTAAATTTACATTATGACTCAGAACTAATCAGACGGTTAATGACATTATACTCAGACTAATCAGACGGTTAATAAACTTATGACTCAGACGGTTAATGACATTATGACTCAGACTAATCAAAACGGTTAATTACATTATGACTCAGACTAACCCGACGGTTAAGACTTAGACTCAGACGGTTAATACATTATGACTCAGACTATCAGACGGTTAATTACATTATGACTCAGACTAATCAGACGGTTAATGACATTATGACTCAGACGGTTAATGACATTATGACTCAGACTAATCAGACGGTTAATGACATTATGACTCAGACTAATCAGACGGTTAATGACATTATGACTCAGACTAATCAGAAACGGTTAATGACATTATTGACTCAGACTTTTAAATGACATTATGACTCAGACTAATCAGACATTACAACTCAGACTAATCAGACGGTTAATAAACATTATGACTCAGACTATCAACGGTTAATTACATTATGACTCAGACTAATCAGCCCGGTTTTAATGACATTTATGACTTAGACTAATCAGACGGTTAATGACATTATGACTCAGACTAATCAGACGGTTAATTACAATTATGACTCAGAACTAATCAGACGGTTAATGACTTTATGACTTAGACTATCAGACGGTTAATGACATTATGACTCAGACTAATCAGACGGTTAATGACATTATGACTCAGACTAATCAGACTTTTTAATGACATTATGACTCAGACTAATCAGACGTTAATGACATTATGACTCAGACTAATCAAGGGTTTTAATGACATTATGACTCAGACTATCAAGACGGTTAATTACATTATGACTCAGACGTTAATGACACAATGACTCAGACTAATCAGACGGTTAAAGACATTATGACTCAGACTAATCAGACGGTTAATACATTATGACCAGACGGTTAATGACATTATGACTCAGACTAACAGACGGTTAAAGACATTATGACTCAACAAATCAGACGGTTAAAGACTTATGACTCAGAATCAGACGGTTAATGACATTATGACTCAGACAAATCAGACGGTTAATGACATTATGACTCAGACTATCAGACGGTTAATGACGTTATAACTCAGACTAATCAGACGGTTAATGACAATGACTCAGACTAATCAGACGTTAATGACATTATGACTCAGACGGTTAATGACATTATAACTCAGACAAAATCAGACGGTTTAATGACATTATGATCAGACTAATCAGACGGTTAATGACATTATGACTCAGACTAATCAGACGGTTAATGACATTATGACTCAGACTAATCAGACGGTTAAAGACATTATGACTCAGACTAATCAGACGGTTAATGACATTAGGACTCAGACTAATCAGACGGTTAATGACATTATGACTCAGACTAATCAGACGGTTAATGACATTATAACTCAGACTAATCAGACGGTTAATGACATTAGGACTCAGACTAATCAGACGGTTAATGACATTAGGACTCAGACTAATCAGACGGTTAATGACATTATGACTCAGACTAATCAGACGGTTAATGACATTAGGACTCAGACTAATCAGACGGTTAATGACATTATGACTCAGACTAATCAGACAGTTAATGACATTATAACTCAGACTAATCAGACGGTTAATGACATTAGGACTCAGACTAATCATTCTGTGACACAAATGTCAATCAGTTGACTGCAATGGTTTCTGTACACCTTTATTTCTCTCCAAATAATGGTCATATTTCTGACGCCATGCAGAGGGTACAGTAACATCAGGGACAGGGTGTAAGTAGATCACAATTAGTGGTCAGTCAAGTATGAAGACCATGGTTGGACCATTCTAAGGAAATGGGCCTTATATGAGTTCTCATTGGTTTTACTCCCGGAACAGGGGTGGTGTGGATATATATATATATATATATATATATATATATATATATATATATATATATATATATATATATATATATATATACAGTACCAGTCAAATGTTTGGACACACCTACTCATTCAAGGGTTTTTCTTTATTTTTACTATTTTCTAATAGTGAAGACATCAAAACTATGATATAACACATATGGAATCATGTAGTAACCTGAACAGTGTTAATCAAATCATTTTTTAAAATTCTTCCAGTATCCACCATTTACCTTGATGACAGCTTTGCACACTCTTTGCATTCTCTCAACCAGCTTCACCTGGAATGCGTTTCCAACAGTCTTGAAGGAGTTCCCACATATGCTGAGCACTTGTTGGCTGCTTTTCCTTCACTCTGCCGTCCGACTCATCCCAAACCGTCTCAATTGGGTTGAGGTCGATGATTGTGGAGGCCAGGTCATCTGATACAGCACTCCATCACTCTCCTTCTTGGTCAAATAGCCATTACACAGCCTGGAGTTGTGTTGGGTCATTGTCCTGTTGAAAAACAAATGATAGTCCCACTAAGCCCAAACCAGATGGGATGGCGTATCGCTGCAGAATGCTGTGGTAGCCATGCTGGTTAAGTGTGCCTTGAATTCTAAATAAATCACTGATAGTATCACCAGCAAAGCACCCCCACACCATCACATCTCCTCCATGCTTCACGGTGGGAACCACACATGCGGAGATCATCCGTTCACCTACTCTACATCTCACAAAGACACGGTGGTTTGAACCAATCTCTCATTTGGACTTATCAGACCAAAGGACATATTTCCACCAGTCTAATGTCCATTGCTCGTGTTTCTTACCCAATTAGGTATCTTCTTCTTATTGGTGTCCTTTAGTAGTGGTTTCTTTGTAGCAATCTGACCATGAAGGCCTGATTCACGCAGGCTCCTCTGAACAGTTGATGTTGAGATGTGTCTGTTACTTGAACTCTGTGAAGGATTTATTTGGGCTGCAATTTCTGAGGCTGGTAACTCTAATGAACTTATTGTCTGCAGCAGAGGTAACACTGGGTCTTCCTTTCCTGTGGTGGTCCTCATGAGAGCCAGTTTCATCATAGCGCTTGATGGTTTTTGCGACTGCACTTGAAGAAACTTTCAATGTTCTTGACATTTTCCGGATTGACTGACCTTCATGTCTTAAAGTCGTTTCTCTTTGCTTATTTGAGCTGTTCTTGCCATAATATGGACTTGGTCTTTTACACCACCCCTACCTTGTGTCACGTCTCCTCCCGTTGCTCCCCTCCAGCCCTTTGATTCGCCGGTCTACTGAGCCACCGGTCTGAGCGCACCACCTCGGCAACACAGGAATGGAAACCCAACGCACCCTAATCACCTCCAGCGCACCTGCACCTCATCATCTCACCTGCACCTCATCATCTCATCACCACCACTATATAGCCCTGGACTGTTCAGTCATTGTTGTGTGTAATTGTTAGCGTCGTGTCGTTTACTCGCTCCTTATTATTCTCTTTCTCATTGTTAAGTAAACCTTTACCTTGTTGATTCCTGCGTCTGCGTCCTTCATATCCTCAGTACTCGTCACAGAATTACACACCTCTCACGAAAATGGATGCAGCATGTAATCCTCCTGGAGTTTCCCAGCGCCTCAACCAGCACCAGCAGCAGCTTGCCCAGTTGAACGCCGCCATGCAGGAAGTGCTCCAAACTCTAATCTGCCCAGCGCTCCGGTTCCACCTCAGGCAGAGGCG